GTTTGTGTTTAGCACGCACTACTGATTAAATAGTGCCAATGAATCTACTGATTAAAATCGTTAACGCAGCTGTTCAAATTTCACTTTCATGGAAGTTATATTGCAATCATCAAGTAGCTTCAGTAGAATTTGGCACAGATTTGGTCCTGTGCTGCAATCTACTTCGTAAAGAGGGGGGATTCCCTACAGCCGAAGCTATAGCTGAGTTGCTTCTGCAAATACTACCGCCTTAATCTGAGGTCTGTTTGTCTCATTGACATGAACACCTCTTAGGGTTGCAATTCGCTTTGACCAATCTGACAGCTGGCTATACCGTGGGATATTTGCAGTACATATTTATTCACATCTCTATTCGTTTATTTGAACCATTTCTAGGTAGTTTTACTGTAATAAGAGCCATAGTTAAATTTTGCGTTCCTTTCTTCGAGTCACTCAGAGTATCAGCTGAACAGAAAACGTAGCCCTTCGCTGCACTGGTTTGCAGCGTCGTGACCCACGGTAGCCAAGTTTCATATTAGTCTAAAACAACAAATACTGCACAGAAAAAACCTTCGATACCTCAGTTCATAAGCAAATTCCTCTTCGCCTTCTAAGGTAGTGAATTTCACCCATCCCTCGCTCTTCTACTTAATTGTGATGTCTGTTTCATGGATGACAAAATGGTCGTTTGGCATGAGGAAGTAGAAGAGCATGTGAAGGAACAAAAGACGACGATGAAGAAGTTCATCTACTTAGGCCAATAGGTTGCTATCACTGCATAGCAGTGTCTTCATGAAAGGTCATACATGATCTAAAAATAAAAGACCTCAACGGCTTAAACTCAAAGACTGCAAACTTCGTACACTAATGCGTTGCCGCCCTCCTCAATTCCTCAACGTCTTAGACAAGAAAGACACTATCAACCTGCGGTAAACCTCCTGCGTCCTAGGATGCCATTGACGCTGCTTCTGGCATCTAAGCACAAGGGCACTGTTTGTAGACACTTCACGTGTACGGTCTGTCAGCAGCGAGTTATCACATCATCGTCACATGGTCGAAGCTATCACATCGGTATTAAGGTACGGTAAATATGAAGGATGGCTTGGCACTGAGTGCAAAAGTTGCTTTTTTGAAGACTACAGAAATCCACTAGGCCGACATAATCAGTCGCCAACAATTCAACAGTCAAATGAATGTATTGATGATCATCACTATGTTTGTACTCTTCTCTCGTTCGTGCTTTCCTTTCCCAAACTGGATCTTGTTAATCCTTGAAAGCAAGAACCAAAATCATTTCATCTTCTTGCAAGACAACCAAGCGCTGTTTTATCGATCCACGGACACAACTTCGCAATAGCCGCCGTTCATCGATGGTCAGTGAAAAGACCCAGACCGTGAAGTTTGTTTTTGTTGTTTCCTACACTGACATTTTTCAGTCCAATTCATTGTCTGACGTTTGATAGCTCCACTACGGACGTGGTCACGCGAAAAGATGATAAAGCAGTTTTCTTTCCATGGCTCTGTCAGTAAAAAACGTATTATTTTCTTCCCTTTTCGTCTACGGCAATATTTCACCGTCGTACGGCATTGCAGACAAAGCGGTTGTGATGGAAAGAGAGAGAATTGAGTCGCTCTGCTGTTGTTCCCAAAAAGATCGAATGTCCTTGACTGAACGGAACATCCACCAACCTCTGTTGTCCTTCTTTGCGAGGTATCAGCCTTCTGATCTGACGCTTGGCTAAACATAGTTTTCAACTTTTTCATAGCATTTCTGTAAACCAATATTTGAGAATTTTGCACGAATCTGGATACCAAATGATTACAGGATAAGATACACATAGTCTGGTAGTAAATGGCGAAGTTTCTCATCGATTATGTAATCATCACCGTTATTGCTTATAATCGTACAGTGAATGTCTGTGGAGAGTAACTTCCAACATGAAAGCCATGTGAGCAGAGTCTGTATGGAACTGGCTTTACGACTGCACAATTGCGCGACGACTTGCTTTAGAAGGACCTCGGTAAAATAGCTTGGTTTGGCTGTAGATGAGACCTTTGGCTGGGAACAACGGCCAAATGAAACGGTTGGAAGAAGGATGCGATATGTTTCAGAGTTGTCGTGGAGATTGAGGAGGTTGTGTATTTGTTTAGAAGTACTCAAAGACTTCACCAAGCCCTCTACTCTACCGTTCTTCCTTTAAGCTGAACCGGTCAACTTCTGTAGTCTCCGGCAAAAATACACGTTCTTTTGAAGTCTTTTGAAATTATTTGGCGGACTCCATGACTGAGGTGCTGATGAGTTTGTATTCATCCTAAACAGCTATGTAATATAGATAGCGGTTGCTCTGGGCAGTCCTATTTTAACTCATTCAACTTATCCGCTGTACCAGTAGTTCCAGCAGTGCCTTTCGAATCGACGAAGTGCAAGATCGGTGCACGTTCGTTGAAGGTGCCGGACTGAAGCTCCCTGAAGATCAGTCGTTCCTTTCTCTGTACGATGT